TACAAAAGAACAAGGTGGGCAACTTTTATACCAGATATCACGATGCATTATAATGCTAATGTTTGTAAGCTCAGGGGTGGTGTCTGTCTGAGGTAGACAAAATTCACCAGTGGGACAGAGTAGAGACCCAGAAACATATCCATGCATATGTGGAAACCTAATATATGATACATGTATACTTTTATATCATTGAGGAAAGGACAAACTATCCAACAAAAGGTGCTGGACAATTGGTTATCTATACAGAAAAAAATAGATGCCTAGTTCACACCACACATAAAAGTAAACTTCAGATGATTAAGGACTTAATTGTGAAAGGCAAACCTGCAAAATATTAACTGTATCAGAGCATACCCTTTTGAACTTGGAATAGGAAAGGATTTCAAAATGTTGAAAAATTGCTGAGAACACATTAAAATTAAGATCATGTTTATGAAAAGACATCATAAAGAAAGTGAAAATACAAGTAAACTGGGAGAAGCTGTTTGCACACACTAGACAAAGGGTTAATAGAGACTTTTATAAAAGTTTTTAATAGTTTATATAGCATTTTAAATTGTTGCTGCAGGAGGGTTGGTGTATTTGGTCTACTATACTGTCAGAAAAAGAAGTCTCATTGTTATTTCTCTCCTCCATCTCTTTTCCCTCTCCTGGAACTCTTACCATTCACATGTAACTTTCTGATCCTTCCTCTTAAGATTTCCATCTCTTTGTAATTTTCCTCTGGATTTTGAGATATTTCTTTCACTTTATCTTCCAGTTCTCTCATTTTGTTTTCAACCATTCTCAATGGTTACCTTTCTATATTCTATTAAATTTTTTAAATGAAAGAAAACAGACTTTTATAAAGAATTCCTACAAGTCAATAAGAAAAAGACAAAAATCCAATTAAAAATGGGCCACATGTTAGAACAGGCACTTTACAGAAAAGGACTAGGGACGTAGACTCAATCTTACTACTAATCTGAAAAATGGGAACTGAAAGCACAATACCCTCTGAATTTATGAAAATTAAAACCCCTAAAACTCTAGAGCAATGGAATCATATCTATAGCTGCTTTGGAAAGCAATGGCATTGCCTGGTGAAGTGGGAGCTGTGCATGCTTTTGAATCAACAATTCCCAAGTTAGGTGTAAAACCTGAGAAATGTTTGTACATATGTACAAGGAGACATGAACAAAAAGTTTTATAGCAGCATTGTCAGTACAAAAAGAACTGGAAATAATGCCAATGTCTATGAGAAGTAGACTGGATGAATAAATGGTGGTATATTCATATAATGGCATACTACACAGCAGACAAAATAAGCTACAGCTAGTCACATCAGCACTGATAAATCATGGGACCATGTTTGGTGAAAACAGCGAGTTGCAGAACAATTCATAGGGTATGATTCCATTTATTTAAAGTCTCCAAACATTTAGAAGTAAACAGTGTATTGTTTAAGCATTCAGATGTGACAAACTCATGAAGAAAAGCAAGGGAATGATAAACAGGAGGGTGGTTATCTCTGGATGGGGGCAGGGATAAGGAGGGGGACGCTCTTAGGGAAGCACCCTCAAGGGCTTCAAAAATTCTGATTGTTTTAGTTTTTAAGCTTAATGAAGGGTACTCAGATGTTTATTATATCATCATTCTTTGTATGGTAACATGTGATAAATGTTCCTTTATACCAATTCAATATTTAATATAAACAATCCAAAGAATATTTGATAAACACTCAGTGGTAATGTCCTTGGCTAATAACCTCTCTCTTCTTTAATTTTTAAATTAGTTATTGCTGCTCTTGTTTTGTTTTGCCTCCTGCGATTTAGAGATTAACGTCGGCTCACCTAACAAAGAAATTTGTTCAGGGAAGAAAAAATATTCCTTCACATTGCTGGGCATGTGGAATGGAGGATAAGGATAGAAACCAGTGTTTTGCATACAGCAGATGATCAGAAAAAGGACTGGCTTTGAATTAAAATAATGAAAAAAATGTAAAGTTGACTTCAACTTCCCTCGAACCATAAAAATTAGGTTTCAGAATTTTCAGTGGACTTTTACTTCCACTTAGTCGCTCTGCCTGTCTGTAAGCTTATTTCTTGATGTTGCATCTCTTGAGGCATCCTAGGGAAGCTGATATCCTGACAAGTTTGTCTCTGGTCTCAGAATAAGGCAGTGTGGAGTGGAGCCAAAGGTTTTTGGCTGCCTGGCCTCTGGGATTGCCGGGGGAACACAGTTGGAGAAGCTGAACACACAGAAGCCAGGTCTGCAGAATAAGAAACTGAGGGTGGAACAATTACCAGCAGTTCTGGGCAGTGCTTCCAGACAACCTAGTTAATTTATTTGCAAATAATTAACTTGAGGACCTTAATTATCTAGATTTATTATCAACCGTCATTACTTTCCTTATCACCATGATTACTGCCACCAAGAGTATTAAGCAGAGCAATAGCTGCTGTTTAAAGTCAGTTTTAAAATCTGAGTCTTGTTCCACAAGAGTCTGTGAATTAGGCGGCGAAGACAGAGATGTGGTTAAGAAAGAAGTACAGGCAAATGAACCAACATGAAACTAAGGACACTAAACTCTTAGTGTCAGATTCTATTGCTGTATTCTTTGCCTGTTTTTCCATTTGTCTTTGACTTTGTAGGCCAAAGTCATGCAAATTGATTTCATAAGGCTTGGCATCCCCATCCCATAAATAAAACTTGCTGAAAATGATTTACTTAGAGTCAATATTTTAATTATTTTAAACCCTATAGTTAACTGAAATCATGCTTTGAAAATAAAAACATGAAAGTAGTAATTAAGAGATTTATAGAATCTTACTGGTATAGGATATGAAGCTAATTATTTGCTCCTTTTAATGCCACAAACATTGCCAATATATCATACTCACATATTTATTATCTCCTGTGATATACAATTTTCAACTCTGTTTTATCATAGTTTCCCCCTGTGGGCTTGGTTGTTCACTGCTGCTCCGAATATCTCATGTTTGACAAGAGCCTATGTAAGCCATGGGGTGCGGGGGAGAGAGTACAACCTTGGGTTTAAATCTTGATTCAATCACTGGTTAGTTGTTGCACGCTTGGAAGTTACTTAAACTCTCTAAGCCTCAGCTTTACCAACTGTAAAATGGGCATAATAATCCTTATCTTATAAATTAGAAGAGAATGGTTTATGAAAACATGCAGTGCAGAGTAATTGCTTCTTAAATGTTAATCCTTTTGTTGGTAAAAAAATTTATATATATATAGAAAAATGTATTTAATTAAATTATTCATTGAGAATAAATAGAAGTTGATACAAATACATCATGCTTCACCTGCTCTGATGAAACTTTCAAAATCTAAGGAGGACTGGCCATTGATAGTCACACTATTCCTGTAGGGCAACAAAATCTCTGCCTTTCTGCACCATCAATGGTAGTGACCTTTTTTTTTTTAAGAAATGAGGAAATTTCATACAAAGTATGGAATTTAAAAATGACACAAAATTTCAGTCTTATAGTAAAGCTCTTGCTGAAAGATGCTTTCAAGCATCTTAGTTGCTTGAAAGCAAATGAAAAATAACTTGATTAAGCATTGAGAAAACCTATTTTACTTAAATATCATATCATTATTTTTTCCATAGTTAAGATAATATAACATATTACAAAGCATTTGGAAAATGGAGGAGTAAGAAGCATACTTTTCCTTCCACGCCTTTTCCTGTGTATATATTTTTTGTGGCTGCAATTATAGTATGTATGCACTTTTCCAACTTGATTTTTCAGTTAATATTATGCCAAAACATTTTTAACTGCTAAGTGATACATTACATTCCATGATTTATTTAACAAATTTTCTATTGTGAATAAGTTGCTTCCAAGTTTTTGCCGTAACATGTAATTATTGTGAAGAACAATTTTGCCTTCAGAATTTTTAAAGGATTTTATCTGTAGGGAA